AACCTTACACAGGGAACATAGGGGAGCTGATGGGGGCTGCCAGCCCACCCTGCTTCCAAACCCCCCAGGACAGGCTGCTTTTCCAGAAAGCCCTGCGAGTCGTGTGCAAAGCAGGAGCCAGGTGACACTAGTAGGACACACTGTGCAACGCCAAATGAGCATGGGCTCTTATAGATGAGCAACATAACAAGGAAACAAACCAGGATGTCGAGGGAACATAGGGGAGCTGATGGGGGCTGCCAGCCCACCCTGCTTCCAAACCCCCCAGGACAGGCTGCTTTTCCAGAAAGCCCTGCGAGTCGTGTGCAAAGCAGGAGCCAGGTGACACTAGTAGGACACACTGTGCAACGCCAAATGAGCATGGGCTCTTATAGATGAGCAACATAACAAGGAAACAAACCAGGATGTCGATAAGTGGGGAGTTGCTGTATCCTCCCCCGAATGTAGCGAAACCTCCCACCCTGCAGCCCACAGCTAGTGGGGGTAGAAATGGCCACACCGATTGTTATGGAGAGAAATCGGGGTGCAGCCTCGTTTCTGGTGTCCTTCCTGGCACCTTCCTCCAATGGTCTCTCCTTCTCCTGCTAGGGGTGGAGCTCAATGAGACCAAGAGCTGCAAGATCGTGTTTGAAATCGCCACGGTGACCTTTGAGGAAGCTGACAGGACCTACAAGGCTGGAATCCCCTACACTGGCAAGGTAAGAGGGTAACCGCCGGGGCAGGGTGAATGTGTCCGTGCCACACGATCGCCTCCACTCCCGGGGAGGGCCTGCGGGACGTGCCCGTGGGGATGAGAATTCTTTACCCGCGCTCGTCGTGCCGTCCCGCCGCAGAGGGCAGAAAGGCGATGGAGCAACCACCAGCCTCTGGCAGTGAGACGGGGCCGGCAGCAGCGCTCGGTCTCCCGCGTCGCGGGAGTTTTTCTCTTTACCTTTGTGACACACTACTTGTTGATAGTTCACTGGCGCCAATGGGCGAGTAGCTTAGGGAGCTCTCGGGCCTAGAGTCCCTCTGCTCACAACACAGGCGCTTGGCCGTGCGCAGGGACGATGCAAACCACTTCGGGGTTGGGGAGGATTCTCAGAGACACGTGAGCTCCCAATGGAGATACATGGTCACAGATCCTGAGGCCTGGAAGGGACCCAAGAGATCAGCTAGTCCAGTCCCCTGCCCTCATGGCAGGACTAAGCATGAGCCAGGCCAGTGGTTCCCAAAGTGCGGTCCATGGACCACGGGTGGTGCGCAGCCACCTCCCAGGTAGGTGATCCACGGCGTGAGCTCAGCCCCACCCATGAAGGCGGGGAGCCCGCGCTGCCGCCCCACTGCCCCCCTTCCCCGCTGCCCCCACCTCACACTGCTACCCGGGCAGCGGTCTCAGCTGTGCCCAGTGGGAGAGCACGAGTCGGGCTC